GGAGGTTAATTATCTTTTTATTGGTTGCTTGTTTGGTTGGGTATCATGGAATTAATATTTATTTTATTAGATTGTATGATCTTTTTTGAGTAATTACTTATTTAATTGATTTCCGAGTCTTCTTTTAAATCTTTGCTTTTTTTAATTAAAAATAATTATTGAAATAATCTTTTCTCCCATTATTTTTAAACAAATTTCGCGTCTCCAACAAGTTTATTAATTTCTGATTTATAATATTTAATTGTTAAATTAAACGATCTCACTGCGTCTCCAATAATTTTTCTTAACAAAAATAAGCAATTTAAATATTTTTAAATCAATAGTAAACAATACATTTTAAAACAAATTTTTTTTTTATTTAACATTAAGTTTTATGCTCTTACTTTTTGAATAAACCATCTGTAAATTAGATTAATTAAAAATACTTTTGCGCGTAATAATATAAAACATTTTTATGTTTACTTTTCATTTAAATAAATTAAAAAGAATTAAAAAAAGTGTCTATTATAAGCTGTTTTTTTTTCAAAACCTTATCATCCTAATTATGATAAAAAAATAATGTTATAAATTACATTAACACATCAATATTAGCAAGTAGTGAAACGTGTATATTTAGTTGCGTTTTGAGAGCAAGAATATGGATATAAAATATATTTTTATCGAATATTTGCAAAATGTAAGTAAATAAATTTAAAAAATACTGATGTTAAATAAACATAATATCAGCTTAAAGAAGCTGCTTAAAAAAGTAGTATAGCCAAATTCCATTCAAAAATTTAGTGAACATAGAAAAATCAAAAATAATATATTTAAAGACCTAATAAATACAAAAAAAACAAACAATAATACATATAAATATAATAAATGAATAAATAAATAAATAATTTTTAATTTAAGTTGTATTCTGAGTGCATTTATATGTGCGAGTATTTCTATTCTATTCTATTCTTCCACCAATTTAATTGTAACTTTTTAGATATTGAAGAAAAATATATCACTAAATAGTTAATTAGAAGGAAAAAATGAAGAAAAAATATGAAATAATAAAAGCAAAAGTTGAAAATAATATGATAACCAAATTAAAAAAGAAAGAAAGAACAAAAAAAAGCAAGCACAATAAAAAGAAAAAGAAAAAAGAGCTTTATTGTTTTTAATTAGTTTTTATAATGAAAAATATCACAATCCAAAACAAATAAACTGTTTTTACCGAAGATTAATTATCAAATTTGAGAGATTAATGCAATTTGCTAAACCAGAACATAACCCTGATGCATCCATTGCACTAATTTAATTGTAACTTTTTAGATAATGAAGAAAAAATATATCACTAAATAGTTAATTAGAAGGAAAAAATGAAGAAAATATGAAATAATAAAAGCAAAAGTTGAAAATAAAATGATGAGCCAAATTAACAAAGAAAGAAAGAACAAAAAAAAGCAAGCACAATAAAAAGAAAAAGAAAAAAGAGCCTTATTATTTTTAATTAATTTTTATAATTAAAAATATCACAATCCAAAACAAATAAACTGTTTTTACCTAAGATCAAGTGTCAAATTTGAGAGATTAATGCAATTTGCTAAACCAGAACCTAAGCCTGATGTACCTTCATCACCAATTTTATTAGAACTTTTTAAATAATTGAAGAAAAAATATATCATTAAATATGTTAATTTGAAGGAAAAAATGAAGAAAAAATATGAAATAATAAAAGCAAAAGTTGAAAATAAAATTATGAGCCAAATTAACAAAAAAATAAAGAACAAAAAAAATCAAGCATAATAAAAAGAAAAAGAAAAAAGCTTTATTGTTTTTAATTAATTTTCTAATTAAAAATATCAGAACCCAAAACAAATAAACTTTTTTTACTAAAGGTTAAGTGTCAATTTTGAGAGATTAATGCAATTTCCTAAACCAGAACATAAGCCTGATGCACCCATTGCACCAATTTAATTGTCCCTTTTTAAATATTGAAGAAAAAATATATCATTAAGTAGTTAATTAGAAGGAAAAAATGAAGAAAAAATATGAAATAATAAAAGCAAAAGTTGAAAATAAAATGATGAGCCAAATTAAAAAAGAAAGAAAGAACAAAAAAAAGCAAGCACAATAAAAAGAAAAAGAAAAAAGAGCTTTATTGTTTTTAATTAATTTTATAATGGAAAATATCACAATCCAAAATAAATAAATAAACTGTTTTTACCTAAGATCAAGTGTCAAATTTGAGAGATTAATGCAATTTGCTAAACCAGAACCTAAGCCTGATGCACCTATTCCACCAATTTAATTGTCACTTTTTAAATATATGAAGAAAAAATATATCACTAAATAGTTAATTAGAAGGAAAAAATGAAGAAAAAATATGAAATAATAAAAGCAAAAATTGAAAATAATATGATAACCAAATTAACAAAGAAAGAAAGAACAAATAAAAGCAAGCACAATAAAAAGAAAAAGAAAAAAGAGCTTTATTGTTTTTAATTAGTTTTTATAATGAAAAATATCACAATCCAAAACAAATAAACTGTTTTTACCTAAGATCAAGTGTTAAATTTGAGAGATTAATGCTGTTTGCTAAAGCAGAACCTAAGCCTGATGCACCCATTGCACCAATTTAATTGTAACTTTTTATATATTGAAGAAAAAA